CTTCGGTATCTTCAGACGTTGGGCCAAATATCGTCAGAAAACAACTCGACCATAATATTCCCGCTGCCTATTGACATCTTAACGCATTTCTTACGGAAAAACAACACGGAAAGCAAGGAGGATGACTAAAAAAGGTACAATGGCTTATGACTTCGGTGGACGGGTAATGGTAGTTTGGCCTAGGTCTCTTCGGCTTAAGTCACGCGATATTTTTGTTTATTTGACATTATTTTTTCCCAATGAAGCAGTCTCTCTTTTTCATCTCGAGCTGATGCTTCATTTTGCAGATTATACCCACAAGTCTTTGTCGCAGTTTAGCACCACAGCTCAGTCTAGCATAGACACCAAAGATATATATACTTGCTAAAGTAATCATTAAGAATATATATACATAAGAGGATAATAAGAAAAAAGACACGATCAAACATCTAATCACATTTACTTACAGGGAAACGCAGTTCAAGTTGATTACCATACTGAATACTGAATATGGATTCTAAACCATTTAGTCAATCTTAGATTTAGTCTCATGAGCCAAAAAAGATGCTAGAAGTAGAAGCCAATTAGACTACAATAACCTAGACTTGAGAGGAGCCCTAGCCAACAATGTCCACCGAGGGCGAGTCAAACGTAGACGTTTAGAGGCTTTGTACAGTTTGGCTGTCGTCGATATATATCTCTATACCTTTTGCCTGACCGTGTGACTGTAGCAGACTGTTTACTGACCCCCCGTGGAGCCCTGCGCGCCCACTAACCCAACTCAGCAACCTACGGAAGGGCACTGGCTCGCCTCGCCCTTGGTCCACTTATAAGGGGGATTCACCCGATGTGGATATGGTAGAATGCCGAGGATGGAACAACTTGTCTTGGGATCTAGTTCTGAGGGATTGCCTTGTGGGGGGAAGACTTTTTCTCTTTTTCTTTCCTTTTGTTGTGAGCGACACAGAGCGCTCGCTTTCATTCAATACGGTTCAACAATAAAATGAGGGAGAATAAAATCTTACCGTAACTTTTTTTCTTCAAAGGTTTTGCCATCTGGTATAAGTTGTTCCATGGTCTAAGTGCTGCCCTAAACTGCATGCAAGTGTTCCATATGACCTGTGTTGGTTTAACTAACACCATCAGGACTGAAAGGAGTGGCTTGCGTATAGGTTTTGTTGCCAAATGTATTATGAGTAGACTCTTAGACGAAGCCATAATACCTTTGTGTCAAACCTGGCCATTCCGAAGACGTCACAGTTTCCTGCAAGATTAGAGCACTATTATCACCAAAGGCCCAGACTGACCAAAAGCTTCTTAGCAATGCAAAAAAAAAAAACTTTTCATGCAAATAAGGACGTTCTGAATGGCCTTGATTTTTAAATATCAGTTTTTGTATGTACTTAAGTGATATAAGGAAATTGTGACTGAGTCAAGTATTGAGGTTAAAATAGTGAGATTTAGCTGTACATCTAAATTTCAAACTAGCTAATTCTCCCATGTGTATGTCAGGTGTCACCCTTATAAGGGACCTCGAAGCTAAACCATTGTGTACTTTATACAGCTATATATATACATATATATATATTTGCCTTGCCAAGTATCAGTCCTTGCGTAAATAATCGTGCAACAGTTCTCCCTTCTCTCGGTTAATTATTAAGTCCAAAAAGCATGCACAATAATAATATAATTCGGCATCGAAGTGTTTGATGGTAATATAATCACGACTGTCATGTCCGCCTCCCTGGGCCACGCCCCTGACACGCTGACAGTTGTCTCATTATTTTATCCACAACCCTTCGCATGTTCTGCTGCCATGCCGCTGCCCCAAGCCCCTTTTTTCAAATTTTCCCCTGCTGTAAAAAAAGATGATACTTAAATATATATTAAATGCGCATGAAGCCAAATCTGAATGTCACGTGATCTTAGCCCAAAGATAACCCTCAAGAGAATTCTCTTTAAAGCAATGGTTTGTGCCACACTTGGTTTTTGCCTGACCAGAAGGTTGCATGGCGTTTTAAACTCCCAATGAAACCCAAACACCCTAAAAAGATAATAATTCTCCCTTTCAGTGTGATCCTCCCCCCCTCCCCTTCCCCCCTTTCAACCCCCACCAAGATACAACATCCCCCGACCTGACATGACCTTACCATGACCTCGCCTGCTCTCTCTTTGGATGATAATGACATGCATTTAATAAATCACCTTCAGGAATAACATATGCTTAATAACTGTTAACTAATGACACTAATCGTCCGTGTGCAGCCAGTCCAGATTGCAAGCAAAGGTCAGGTCATTGAAAACATGTATTTTAGCAGCCGTTGTTAAACTCAGTTGATATATCTGTCATACACTACAAATATTATCACGGTGCAGATGCAACTGATGCCATCGGGTAGGTAAACAACTTCAATTTGCAAAGGTCATAATTCACTGAGAAATACTTGTATTCTTTGTGATCATGCAGAGAAAATGATGAATGAACTTTGCTTTGTTTGAGAAACGGCACTTGAGAGAGAGCATATGATCACTTAAGTTCCTAAAAGGTAAATGGAATTTGGTGCAACTGATCGCTGCATAACCCTCTTGGTGGCCTCAGAGTCGCTACTTTCAAATGACAACGAAAATAACAGAAATGTTCCGACAGAGCATGGCTTGTAAAGAGAAAAAAAAAACAAAAGAGAATATCAAAGGAGAATGATATTTGGAAATTAAATGGCGCACGTGTATGATGACATTGCAATTGCAACCCAAAAGGCCAGTCAACCAGCTTCTACTAGCACTGTGAGTGACGTCAGTAATAATGCTAGAATTCCTTGAACAAGCTTTCTAGTCTTGTCTTCAGCCCAGAGTCGCGTCCTAGAGATTCTTGCCATGTTTGGTTATGAGCTATTTGCTTCATTTTTTTATTTAGCCCTATGGGATAACATAGGGTTATCGTGAGCTTCTCAGGCCATGCAACTTGGTACCAGTAGGGTACGATAGAGCCTCAACTCCATGCATTTTGCAACCATGTTTCTACCACACCCTAGGGAGAGAGCCACCCAAAAGACAAACATGGTTTTAAAAAGGGACACATTTTATTTCAGATCAAAACAAAACAACAAAAAGTTATAGCGAAAAGATATTCACATTGAAATTCTGCACAATGAGTTCATAATACATATAAATACACAGTTACAATTATCCAGTGCCACTAAATACCCTTATTTGTAAGTGCTGTATTTATGTTTGTAGAAATTCTAATAATCCTCATTCTAGTTTATGGTAATATATGTATATATGTGTGTATGTGTGTTTAGAGGTATAATATGCATATATATATATATATATAATATATATTACATATATATATATATATANAGACAGAGACAGAAAGAGAGACAGAGAGAGATAGGAAAGCAGACAGACAGACAGAAGAGAGAAGAGAAGAGATAGAGAGAGGACAGACAGACAGAGGAGAGAGAGGAGAGACAGAGCAGACAGAAGATAGAGAGAGAGACAGAGACAGACAGACAGACAGACAGAGACAGAGAGATAGAGACAACAGACAGACAGACAGACAGACCAGAGAGACCAGAGACAGAGAGATACAAGGACAGGAGCAGAGAAGGATAGAGAGGAGGAGGACAGACAGAGACAGGAGACAGACGACAGAGAGACAGGACAGAGACAGAGACAGAAAGACAGAGACAGAGAGATAACAGAGACAGACAGACAGACAGAGAAAATACATCACAACCTCCTTGCTGAAAATTTCGATGCTTTCAACACGAGGATTCCTAGCCCAGTGACACACTCTATGCAGGACTGCGCTTGTGTGAAAGGCATAGGTTATGTACAGAATATATTACCATTGAAAGGGACACGAGACCCGTCACTCCCAAGCTTAAAACTGTACGGGCGTGAATACGGATACTGTGTCATACAGAGGGACGAGAGAGAGAAAGAGATGGGGAGAGGGAGGGAGGGAGGAGGAGAGATACACTGATGGGTAGAGATACACAGAGAAAGAGAGGAAGGCACAGGTATATTAATACATAAATAGGCAGAAAGGGGAGAGAGAGGGGGAAAGAAAGAAGAGAGAAGAGAGAGAGAGCAGAGAAAGAGAAAGAGAGAAAAAAAGAAAAGAAAAGAAAAAAAAAACAGAGACAAAGTGAGAGAGAAAATGAAAAAAAAAGCGGGAAAAAAAGAGAAAAAGATGATAAACATACATTTTTCCGTATCCATGCTTTAATATTCTTGCCTTGAATAATCCACAAGATCCAATGTACCCGCGCAGGTTTCATCGGATCTCCAGCTGTCCCATAAATAAAGGGAAAAACCGTAACATTAAGCTTTGCTCTCGCCGTCGGCTTCAAAAAAGCAAATTCAAAGAGTGATTGTTAAAAAAAAAGAAAAAAAAAAGAAAGTTTAGAATTTTTAAAATATATATGTAAGAATAAAAAGAAATCAATAAATAAAATCAATAAAAACATAAATTTAAAAATATTATGAGATCAAAATACCAAAAAAAAAAGAAAAATATATATACAAACAATAAATAAAATCAATAAAAACATAGATTTAAAAATATCATGAGATCAAAATACCAAAAAAAAAGAAAAATATATATACAAATATGCTATTTGATATGTATGCTTTTATTTATTTTATTTTTTTATTTTATTTTTTTTTTTTTTTATTTTTTTTTTTTTTTTTTTGGTCGATAGAGGGGAGATATAAACCAGAGAGAAAGGGGAAATAACAGAGATATTGAAAATATATATATTGGTGTTATAAACGGAGAAAGAAGAGAGAAAAGGGGAGAGGGAGAGATAAATGCGAGAGACGGCGAAAATGAAAGATAAAGGAGAGAAACAGAGAAAGAGAAAATAGAAAAAAAATAACACAGGGGAAATGATAGACAGAAAGAGAAGAACTGAAAGAAAAGATTCGTGTATAGAGAAGGAGAAGGAAAGAGAATGAAAAGGAAGAGAAACAGAGAAAGAGAAAGAGAGAAACAATGACGTGAGAAGAGGAAGAGAGAGACAGAGAAAGACAAAGATACAAGGAAAAGAGAAAGATGGGGGAAGAACAGAAAGAGAAAGAAAGAAAGAAAGGAAGATAAGAAACAGAGACAAAGGAGAACGTGAAAGAAAAGCTAAAAG